GATTCTCAAACTTGTCCTTCAAAGTAATGGCCTTGGCAACTGTGACACCATCTGGAGTGGATTCCAAGAATGAGTATCAAAAAAGATCTAGATTCGGACAGAAAGAGGAAATTAAAATGGAGAAGAAATCGAAAGCGCCCCTGTTCAGAGTGCGGGTGCCTTCGAAGGTAAACAGAAAAGGGAACAAAAGATTGCGGATGAGAACTAAATCCAGAGAAAAACTAACCCTTCGTGATTTTGGGACCACCGAACGACTGCTCAATGATAACGTTCCGACCTACACGCGACACGTCAGCAAACCAACGGGGAAACAACCACAAGGCAAGGAAAAGAAAACAGACCTTTTGGTCCGAGCGTAATACTGACAGCGTTTGCAAGCACGTCGACGCCTTTGAGGATGCTCGCACGTCCCTCATTAGAAAACTTAATTTCCTTGTGAGCACCGCGGGCGAGAACGGCGCGGGTAGCCTTCGCTGAAGCACGACGGAGCGCGCGAGAAGAGCTGGAGGAGACATGGTGCATGATGTAGGAATGTGCGGAGATGGGAGACAGGAGAGGTGGACGGTGAGAAGGAAGTGGGAAGTGGGTCGAGACTGGGAGAGAAAAGGAAAGGAAGAAATACGCGGCAAAGCGGCCCTTCATGTTTGTCCCTTTATTTGGCTCGTGCTTATGTAAGAATCAACAAATCTCTCACGCCCTATGAAAATTTCGGTGTTCGTTCCATCTATCCAGTATCTATCTTAAGGCCATAAAGGCTTGTATTAACAGAATATGACGATATTGCTGATACGGCCTGCTCTTAAAGCGAGTGGAGCGCATGAAGAACATCCTGACACAGGAATCATGTGGAAATCAGAGAGATGCCGTCCTGCCTAAACCAGATTACTCACCCAAGCGTCGTCGTCCCAAGGTTTGACGCCCTGGCAGGCCAGTTCCATCATGTCGTCTTGCGTGAACCCAAAATTATCCATCCTCTCGTCCTCCTCCGAGTTGAATTCATCATATTCCTCAATTCGTCTTCCACGCCTTCCACCTCTGCCCCTACCTCGACCACGACGACTCGGACCACTGGCACGCACGTGCTTGGAGACCTCATTGTAGATAAGCAATTCCGCCGCATTGCTGACGGCGGCTTGAAATCCTAGCTCTGCCAGAGTCCTACTGTGCCCATAGAGTTCCTCCATCTCAACACCGTGCGCGGATGCCCATGCAAGACGATTATCTATGAAGGCAAACGTGTATGGCATGAATGCCGAACTCGTGTTAGGATTCAGCGATTCCGAGATGTGGCGGAGAAGGTCGCATTTTCCCTCGTTTTCATACCAGCGGCCAGACGACAAGTAAGTCTTGTCGTGAGAATATACGCACGCGCTGCCACCGAACTTACAGTTCCCGAGTAGGAAGTACATGCAAACGTTACGCCCCCTATACGGTGTCCAAAGTCGGTCAGTCAGGCAAGAGCTAAAAATAATAATTTAAAGAACGTACAAGCGATCGCGCACACTCTTGTGATCCGGGGCATGGGAAAACCTGCAGTCGGTGCCGCGCAAGCAACCATCATGGTTATAGAACCTGCACGGGATATCGTTTCCCTCCTGGTTCCAATCGGGCGAGTCCGACACTGACTCGAGCTCGACCTTGGTATCCTCCAGCTGCGGAGACTCATCGCTTTCGTCAAGGGGGTCTTCCTCCTCAATGCGATTAATCATGAGGGCATACGTCTCACGAAGTACCTCTTTCGCCTCGGTCGAGTCGGGATCTTGTATCAAGACGGTTTGGAAGTCTGCGTTTCATGCGTTCCACCGTCAGTCTCGTTGGCGCTTCGTGCGCCACTATTTACGGCAGGCAAGGCGAGCGTGGAAGGCACATACCGATGGCAGCCCGGGCAAGCTCGAGGTTGCCCTTGCGCGCAAGGCCACGACGATAGCGCGCCTTCACGAAGCGGGGGTCGAGAACAAGGGCACGATCGGCGCAATGCTCGGCAGCGTCATACCTGAAGATGTCATACGTCATTATATACCACCCGCAGCACGCGTAACGTGAAACCAAACACACTCTTCTAGTTTTAACCATGCTGCAGCCATGTTTGACAAGTATGCGGCACTAGGACCATGGACTTTGATGGCGCCATTGTACTCTTCGATGGCCTTGCGATAGTCACCCGCACGGAAGTGAGCATTTCCCTAGAACATGATGATGAGACTCTTTGTCATTCGATGGCAGCACGTCGTTCTGAGTGGGTGGCATGAAAGATAAGGAGGACGTACGGCTTCCTTGCGTTCTTCTGCCTGGACGAGCCTGGTCCCTACACGCTCTGCGCGTTTGACAGCTCTCGCCTGGACCAGCTCATCCTTTTTGGATGTCTTTGTAGAGTTCATGCCACCAGATTTGGCTTTTTGTTTATCCTTGGGTGCCATTAATGACGTTCGAAATGAGTGTTTTTTTCGAAGTTTAAGGGTGACTGTTAGCTTTCACGAGAAGGTGGTCAATGGTCAATGGAAGGTCCAAGCGATGGTTGGATTTACATCCGCTGCTGACTCGCGTGCCTTTTTCATAGTCGATCACCTTACGCGGTCTAGCTGCAGTGGCAAACTTTAGCGCAATTCTTATGACGTAACGCGTCACGCTTCATCCTCTTTGTCGCATGTGCCGCTGCCACCGCGAGAGGAGACAGCGTGCAGAATGAGATGTATCATGCCATTCCAGAGTGCTGAAAAAAATGGCGAGCAATATGATGCTGTAGTATGTTTATGTCCGCCGTGTTGGAAGGCCGTGGGGACGACAGTGGAAGGCAAGTGAAAGCACGTGGTCGACACGGACACGGTCTCGTGATGCGGGTACCCCAGCCTTTCATTGCACTTGTACTTTGACTAAAACCACCCATATACCTCCACACGTTCATACCACCATACGCATCTTCTCACCCATCGCGAAAAAATGGCTTTTATCACTCCAGAAGACCGTGCATATATGTCGCCCTCTTCCTCCCCAAGTGGCTCTCCCACCGCATCTTCCTTTGTCGACTCGTCTCCGCTCGCCTCTCCATCCCTACAGCCTCTCGACCTCGATCGTCCGGCCACGCCACTCGGCATAAGTCATCCCTTTTCCGGCTCTACTCACGCTACAACACATCCCTCTAACGAGCTTCGCTACTCAAATTCCTCATACACGCCTGCCACCTGGTCGTATAGATCCGACATCTCGTCCTCAATAGATCACCCGAAAGTGTTCGAAAGCCTCTTTAACGAAGGGGAGGAGGGCTTTTCTGCGTCTGGTTATGATCCAGAGCCTCCAGATGAGGCCACTTTGTGGGAAGAGAAGATCACACGAGCAGTCGACATGGGCGAGGCTGAATTTACTTGGAAGTAGGTATCTATCCATTCTTTACCGGTAACCATTGCCTTGACAGGCCCTCAAGGGATGCAGGGCTTACATTTATACCTCCATCTATCGTGGAACTCAACAGCCTCGGTGTCATATCCGAGTCGGCCCAGCGCCCTTTCAAGCGCGTACAGACCGCACCACCAGCCGTGTTCTCCTCGTCGCACCGACCATTCTTCTCACAACGCGTTCCCCTCGCCCGGACCAGATCCCAGGGATTTATGATCTTTCTGGCGAACAACGAAATTAAAACACTTCCACCAGAGTTCTTCAAGTTGAGTAATCTGACGGTACTGTCCCTCCGTGCGCACCTACCTTTGCTCGCTCCATTTCACCGGATATACTGATACTCTCGATGGCAGGGAACAACAGCCTTGACTATCTTCCTCCCGAAATTGCGCAGTTACAAGCGCTCAAAGACCTCGATGTGGTCAACAACAACTTGCGTTTCCTCCCCGCAGAGATGACGACGATGACCCTCACCAACCTCAACGTCCATACGAACCCCTGGTACCCAGACCCTGTCAACGCTTCTGGCCCACGGGATACGGCCATCGTGGACAGTGCGACGCGTGTGCACTTTCGCGTGCCGCCACTGCGCGAAGTCGTCTTACGGTACCTCCTCACGCCCGCGGCAAATCAACAGCGTCCTCTAGCACCCTCCCCGCCGGCTTCACCTACGACTACTATGATGGCTACTGCACATGTCAAACAACCTACGATGCTCGAAGACCGCTTTCAACTCCCGCTACAGGAAGGCACGCTCACTCCCGCCGACGCAGCGCTCATCGCACGACTCGCGCCCGCCGCAGTGTCCGCTCCGCGACGGCACGCCTTTTCGCGCGCTACGACGTCGGGACCAGGTGCGGGCCTATTCCCTCCAACTATTTCCGCTTTGCCGTCCAAATCGGAAGAGGAATGGCCGACTCATTGCTCCCTCACTGGCCTCGCCGCGATGACTCAGCAGCAGCAGCAACACGAGCAGAAGAGCTGCTCTGGTCGTTGTCCATCCCCGCGTCACAACTATGCCACGCCGGCCGTAGTAGTGGGTCAGCCATGGCCATGGTCGAGCCTTGGCCCACCGTTCATCATGCCTGCTGAGGAGCGGTATACCTGGGTTACTGAACTCGCGGGCGTGCGTGTTGGTGAAAGCACGGGTGGGGTGCCGATCTTGTGGCGTGGGTGCGGGAGAGGGTGTTTGGACTTTTTGGATCAGGGCAACACCAGCGTTGCCGCTCCAGTTGGGGAACCAATGGATGAGAAAAAGTGATGTGCCACCACAGCTTGATGGTGGTGGTGGTCTCGTGGATGACAGAAGCTTGAAAGTACGGTGTGCCGTGAATCACCTGCGAGCGTATATACTGTAAAACATTAGGACAAAATAATTACCAAGGCAATTGTAATGTAAATGAAAGTGCATAGATTTCGGGTTGGTGAAGGGGAAGAACCGCGGTATTCGCGGGCACTTCCACACAGCCATTTAGCTGGTGATAATCATCACACTGCGACGCGCGGTGTGGCACGGAATGGAAAGATTGTATATTTGAATCAAAATACTGTAGAGAAGTATCTCATTGAAACCGTACTTGTCGCCCTCGCGCCAATGTGGAAAAAAGAAATGCCAACTAGCCGGTTTGAACGACTGACCTCGTCATGCATATCATGCGATCATAACGCCGTGATGTACAAGTGACGCGCTCTACCACTGAGCTAAGCAGGCCTGGCCAAATGATATTACCTTATCAAATACAACATGACAAATATCGACAAAATTACGAAAATTTATTGAACCATTTTTCCGCCGCGCTTGCCCGGTGATCGCACGTGTATCTTTGGTGGTCCGTGCGTGTTTTTGGTGGTCCGTGCGCAGTCTAGCGGGTATATAAGCCTCGCGCCTGTGGTTGCCGATTTCCTTACCACTCTGGCCTTTTGGCTTAGATCAAGTGTAGTATCTGTTCTTAATAGTTTAACCACTATTATGGGGGCACCGCCCTCATTACTGGTTATCTTATTTTTGCCGCCCTTGTTCCCTGGGGCTCTGCTTGCAACCCCGGGACATGATGACCTCGCCGCTGCACTATTGGCTTGTGTCGTCGGGGGACCCACTCTTTGCTCTTCTTCTGCCATCCATCCACCTGGTAGTGTGCTGTCTGCCATTCGGCAGCTTCCACAGGTGGCAGACGAACTCATTGGAGGGTCTCTTTACTCGTCTCACTATACTTTACCTTATAAGTTACTTTTTTGTTTTGGAGAAACTCGAGTTTGTACTTCATGTTCCGTGTTATACAGATTTATCATGTTTTATTCTGGGTATGCAATGTGATGGTGCTTGTAAAAATAACTTTTCTCATCCGGATAGGTCTCGAGAAGTTGTATGTACGCATTCCTCGATACATGCCATGAGCTCTACTACTTTGGTTGGTTGGTATTGACTGTTGAGTAATCGTGTTCAAGTTTGTTTTGTAGTTCATTTCTTTCTCTGATGAATTTGTACGAATGGGATGACTACCATCGCATTTTTCATGATCGCGGTGGAGAAACAGTAGTAACTTGCGGTACATGCATCGAAAACACGAATCGTCCATGACCTCCGGAGCTTCAAAAAGCCCGTTCTCCCGTACAGCGCACACAAATGAGAGCCTGAGCCGACCAGTAAGGTGGGTGGCGATGGCGAACCAGTAGGTGGTAAATTTCGAAGAGAAGCCGCTTAGCTGTTCGAAGAGAAGAGTGGACTATGGCATATAGTGAGCTCCTCGGGAATACAGGAATGTGATCCTGCGACGCGTAATTCCGAGTCAAACGGCGTTGGCCGTTGGAACTAGACAGAGAACGGTGAAAAGTTGAAATGGGGGGAGAAGAGGGAAAGTGAATTGGCCGAGGTTGCCGTACGTACGCTTCTGCGGCTTTTTGTGCCCAGTCAGTGCGATTGCATGAGGCCGGAGCATATAAGCGCAAGAGCTCAATAAACGGGTCTCTAAGTTCGCTAGAGAATGTATGACATGAAGACGAGGTGGGGTTGTCACGAGGGGCTGAGTAGCACGCCGCTTCGACATATTGTCATGATGACTCCGAGTCATTCGCACCTTGCCGCACTTCAAAGGGCTGGCTTGGCGGTACTAACCAATCAGTACGGAACCTGCCGTAAATAACGTGCTTTTCGGGACGGCAAGGAAATGTGCTCACGACAGACACCGAGACGTCGGAGGATGTGTTATATGTCTGTGACCCCGGGCTATGTCAGTTATATCACCCACCACGAAGCGCTACTCACATGGTTTCCCTCCTGTCTATGCGAGCGCAATGGATAAGGACTAAGCCCTCAGGGGCTTAGTGTCTGTCCGCAATACAAGAACATTCGGAAACACGCATGGTTTCACCCTGGACCATCACGCTATATGATAGAAGTCGGTGTGCAATGAGTCTCTGGGGCAATGGGTGTTGGGCCAGACGAGGTGGACTACCCTTCTCACCGCAGTGATGGAAGAAGAAGAATCATGAGGCTGGATCATGGCACGAAGACTATGAAAGGAAAGGAATGTGATGGTGTACTGCAACGAAGTCGCCTAGAAATTCGATGTTGCCGGTAATAAGAGAAACGCTGTTACAGTAGTTGATACGATACTGTACAGGAGCAGTTTGCGCTTGCGCTTGGCATTCGCGCTTGGCGAGAGGGATGATAGGTTGAGGGGAGGCCACGCTCCACGGGCCCGCCGGCAAGCGTGGGCATACTTCAATTCAACTTGGGTTCCGGTTCCCGATGCCGCTAGCCGCCCGTAAGTTGGGGTGGATCCGCGAAAAAAAAAAAATTACTTGCCAACTTGGATGTAACCTTCATCAAGAAAACCGGTCCGAAGTCCGTACGTTACTGTGCTACCCGTGACAGAGACTGAAGCTTGAAGGTCGCTTGCGTCCCACGCAAGGACCAGCAGGCTCCAATGGGTACCGTAATCCTTTCCGACATGTACACGAGGTGACCTACATACACTTCTAGCGCGCGGCAGCTGCCGCGATCTAGCGTTCACAGCTCATCAGCTCATCAACGCATCAAATCACCGCCGCGGGCGCAAAGCTTGTAGCTGCATCGTGGCGCATTATAGAGCTTTTGGTGCGTGTCCTTTCTCCGCCAGCCACTATTACTGCGGGAACTACGGTACAGTACTACAGTAGTACTGTACTAGTAATGCCAAGCCAATTTCATTTCGTTGCATGCGGTACATGATGCGGTGGTAGTACATGCGGTATCATTTATCGATCACCCAAATTTCGCACTGGCCTTACGCCAGTCTCGACTCTCGCGCCTCGTGCAAACGGCGCAAACGTTAACAAAGGGAAAAAATATATTGGAATGACAAATTCGCTTTTCCGCGGCAGTTTCGCTTGCTTGGGTCCGGCACGCTTGACATTGACAGTACAGTAGTAAGTCTGTGGCTGATCTTGTCTGTGCCGTTCTGTGCATCACTACTGTAAGGATCCAGAACAATACCAAATTACCAATGTGTACAACTGTGCCCGCATGGGCTTGCTGCGGGTCCATACCTTTGCTGCTGCGGTACCGAAAACGAGGACCGGGACCGGGACTGGGGGGTCGGAAATGTTCGGAACCGAGGAGTTGCCCCTTTTCGGGGTTCGGTTCTTCAATTCTTTTGGTCCACACTTGGCGCTCACCCTTGGCTTGGGGCTTTTCAGTCAGCAGCAGTCAGCGCTAGTCAGCCACAACCACAAAACCGTCTATCTGATTCCTGATTCCTGATCACAGGATCAGATCACATACAGGTACCACAATACTCCTCCGATTGCCGATCGCCGGAATGCCGGTGGGGTCCCGCAGCCTTTATTGTAAGTTTACCACTGTGGTATTGAGCGCTCTCTTTCCTTCCATGCCATGCGGCGCAGGCGGTTTGGGTTCGAAATCCGTAATTCTGGGAATTCGAATCGGAGTCAGGAGGTGCTTTTTTCCCCTTGGGCGCGAACCGCCCACACCCACACACTACCACACATTGCCGGGTTCCATGGATCCAATTGCGTTATTGGGGTCGAGGGCCAAACCTAATAAATTGCCAACATAGATCCCCGACATTTGGACACCTCCCCCTCCCGTCCGCATCACCATTCCTCCCTCTATATTCCCGTGGTCCAACAACACTGGTCCAATCAACCTGTTGCCACTGACCGAGACGAGCTATCACGACAAATCACTATCACTATCATCTATCATGTCACTCTTCACTCTGATTCTTGAAGCCCTCGCCGGGACAGTGACGCTCTTATCAGCGCCAAAATTACTAGACCGAGTACTCACGCAACTTTGTAAGTTGCCTTTCCCTTTTCTTTTCTGATATCTCCATCGTCTTGACAAAAACGCTCTCAGCACGGTTGCTACCATTAGGAGCCGGCATCGCGTAGCAGCATTTTTGCCTGTATCCCTATTAGATCAATGACGTGGTTTCGGGGGTCTTCCTGGGCACTATGACGCATGTGATTCTCCAAGCTCCAAACCAACAACTTATGATTGCTTGTGAAATACACGATGGCATTTCTCGAAATGGCAGAGCGGGGCGGAGAGGAGAGCTAGAGACAATCAGAGGCAGGTGAAGACAGGCATTTAGTAATTTGCTGTACCATACGCATTCCGGGTAATGAACGTGTACATTATGGATGTTGCTATGAAAAACAAACAGGATTTCATGTGTTCATTTCGATGATTCGTTGGTTCTAGTACATGCGTAACTAACGGAGGGAACTTCCCAACTCGTTCGAGCCTATGCAGTCCATACGCGACGGATGAGCTCGGTCAGACCTACAAGAATCGAAACGTTTAATCAATTAGAGGGTAGCGAAGTTCAACACGCACCGATATCATTCGTGTTGAATTGGTACACGCCCACTCCAACGGCGACTGACGTCAAGCGCAACGTCCAAGAGAACAGCGGACCGAGCGTAGGGAACTTGCGCTTATGAACGTAATCCACCAGAATACTGTCAAACTGAATTTCCCCAGCGGAATATGTGAGGTAAGAAAACAAAATGAAAGAGGGAGTGATGTAAGAAAACGCACCCCGATATGGCTGTGGACGATGAGGCTGAGGCCGAGCAGGCCATCAAGGAGCGGGGTGGACGAGCCAGAAGTCACGAAGGCGGCGCCGGTGAGCGGGACGAGGCCGGCGGCAAGCAGACGCTCGAAAGTCCAGTGGTGAGATCCGTGTGACCTATTCGCAGGGGGGAAAGTCGTCGGTTCGTTCACTGTGCCCTTGTAGATCGCTATCCAAAACCAAATGTCATCATTATCATCGTCAATCACACATACGACAAAAGAGGAAAGATAGGACGTACGGCCACCGGGAACGTAGGCAAAGTTGGTTGTTGAACGGCGTGCTGTTTTGGATAATTGTGTGTGTACGTTTGTACGAGAGAGAGAACGTGTCAAAAGGGGTCGTGTGGTAAGTGATGGACGTTTGCATGGGTCTGGATAGAGATGATGTGGACGTACCGAGTTGGAAAGGGAGAAGAGGGCGCTTGGCTACCGCCAAAGAAGGGCGCAAAAAGACGCTAGACGCCATTTTCGGAAAGGAGAAGAGTTGTTCGCTTCTTGTTGGTGATGGTGGTGTGGTGGACCCTAGTGGTGGTTCAAGGGAGTGTTGAGCTCTTCCGACTCGGGCGCCTAGCTGCTGCACGGAAACCCGCCACTGTGACCTCGGGCCGGAATACCAACCTCAGCCCCGG